ATGGTGACCCTATGTACGTGAGAGTAGATTTTACTCCATAGTCTTTTCAGTGGTTTTGACATTTCAGAAGATTGCCAGGTCTTTCTTCCAGGGCACCTTTAGGTGGAGTTGAACCTCCAAATAAATGTCTGGTTAGCAACCAAGTGCATTAACTGTTTGCATCACTCATGGACTCTTCCCTGCTAAATGAGTTGGAATTTAATATTGGGAGCTAACTCTAATCATTCAGATAATGAAAGTTAAGTTACTATATTTGCAATTTCATTTTGGGGAACATTACTTTCTAGTCAACAAAATTTGTGTGTATGTGTATTTAAAGGAGCCCTGGGCACAATAGTTAAGCACTTGGCTGCTACCTGAAAGGTCAGTGGTTCAAACCCACCAGCTACTTCCATAGACATTACATCCTTTGAAACCCTATGGGGCAGTTCTACTCTGTCCTATAATAGGGTTGCTATGAGTGTGAATTGACTCAACAGTAATGGGTGTGTGTGTGTGTGATGCATTTAATTAAGAGGTTTTTTTTCCCAATTTACTTAGTCTTATATTGAGTGTTGGTTGTAGGTAATGGTCTTCCTAACCTAGATAAATATCTTGTTATATGAACACAAACCCAAATTGACCTTGGGAAGTGGGAAAGGAGAGAACAAAAGTCAGCGGTTGAGCCAGGTGTTTGGGCTCTCCAGAGGCAGGGGCAGGGGCAGAGAAAGATGTGCTTGGAGAGTGCTCTAACATATAAGAACATTCTCCTCTCTCTGTTGTTTGTGCTGAGTCTGAGAGCTGAGCATAAGGTCGTCTGGTGTCCCTGTGTGGCAAGTCACAGCCTGGAAAGTGGGCACTGGTCCCACAGGCAGCAAACACGGCCTTTTGTTTGAGGGACACATTTCATCACTGTGTGTGAATGAAAGGAATGCCCCAGTGTCATGCAGTTCTTGCTGGCTGCACAAGCCTACTAAAAACCCACCTCATTCCAAGGGGGATGTCCGCTGACTCACAGGTACTATTTCTTTTCTTCTTGTCAACTGACTTAGTGGAAATGTCCCAATGAAAGGCCAACCAAAAACTCACACTTGAATGCTGTAAACATGACAAGAGGAGGAGGAGCCACTCCTTAAACTTTGTGCAATGCTGATCTAAACGGTCCTCTTGAGTCAGTACAAAGGCAAATCGATGATTCTTTTTTTCTGTTGAGTAAAGTCCCAAAGTGCTGGGGTTAGCCTACAGCCAAAAAAAGTGATTCTTTGTGTTACGAAACTTTTATAACCTGGGTAGACTACAGCCTGACCACTTTTTTTTTTTTTTCCTTTTATAACTAAGGTTCCATCTGCATATACAAACTGGTTTGACCACTGATGACCACTGATGACCAAAACTCTCAAACCCAACTCACTGCCATTGAGTAGATTTCTAATCATAGTGACCCCTCCTTGGGCTTCGGAGGCGGTATCTCTATGGAAGTAGATTTCCCAGTCTTCCTTCCAAGGAGCAGCTGGTGGGTTTGAACCTCCAGCCTTCTGGTTAGCAGTCAAATGCCTTAAGCACTATGCCACCAAGAGGTCATCATTTAACAAAAGCAGTCTAAAAAACAGGTTTGACAACTTAACTTTTAACTAATGGGTCCAACAAATGGTGAGACCCTCATAGTTTGTGCAAACATATCGCCAATGGCTTATTAATATATTCCTGGGAAATGAAAAAGAAACAAAAACAAAAGCAGTGTAGTATATTCAAGGAGCAATGAAGAAAGCAAAGCAATACTTAGAGTCCGTGAAGTTGCTTTGTAAAATCTCAATTATTTTTGCCTATAAACACCTTACTGGGATATACTCATCTCACCCCCAAGAGCATTTTTTTAAAGCTAGCCTAGATTTCTGGAGAAAATATGCTCTCTGTAGGAAAACAAACAAACAAACAAATAAATAACCTCAATGAATATTTCTGTAGCTCAAAATTCCAGTAAGAAGTACATCCAAATACAGAACATGTATAAGTCATTATAAAATGCTTCAAAACCACCGATTACATCTATTGTAAGAGGGATGTGCATGTCCTAAGAAGCTATTCAAAACTGTAAGAGTGACAGCAAAACCTGTTATTGGAGAACAACTTCATAGCACCCCAAAACACCTAGAGAAGGTCTGTTCCTGGAATGTGGGTTTGGGTAGGGCAGGGTGGGGTAAGAGAAGAACAACTCCGAAGGCAAAGAAAAAACTTCTGACAAGTAACTGCCAAAGTGTCCAAAGTTCTTGAAGAACTGACTGGCTGGTAGACTCCATGGGAGGTCATTTAAAATCATACTTTTTAAAATTCATTTATGCCTGGTGGAGTCCCTGGGCAGTGCAAACAGTTAAAGCCCTCAGCCACTAATCCAAAGTTTGGAGATCTGAGTCCCCACAGGGGTGCCTCGGAAGAAAGACTTGACAATCTACTTCTGAAAAATCAGCCATTGAAAACCCTACAGGGCACAGTTCTACTCTGACACATGTGAGGTCACCATGAATTGGAGCCAAGTCAACAGTAATTGGTTAACTGGTTATTGCAGGCTAGTAGGTAAAAGTTGAGAGGTATGGGCAAAGCATCTTAAACAAACATGCCAAAAAGGAGATACAGAGGAGGAGGGGTGAGCATGGGAGCAGACACATGTTAAAAGCTGACCACGTGCTGGGCACTGAGCTACACATAGCAACCCCATAGGGTTTCCAACGTCACCGGGATGGGTGGGTGGTGTGATTCCACATGTACCAGTGAAGCAGTCCTCACAAAATGAAGAAAGCTGTTCAAGGCAGTTTCAAACTCTGGCTTTAATACATCCATATGTATTTTTAAGTACTTGGTCTTCTCTAACTAGTCCCTGAGGGATAAATGGGTAGAAATATGTAGTATAAGCCCGGCCCTACCTGAGCCACAGAGAAGCTGTGGACCATCCTCTCAAGCCTCAATTTTCAAAACTAAGTAATTTACTGGTGAGAATTTAAAGGCATTTTCTTTTAAACAAAAAGTATTTTATAGAGTAGAAAGCAAAACCCACACAGAACTTTGAGAAAAGACTCCAAACCAGAGAAATGCTACTGTGTTTGGCAGGCCCCTCTGAGCTTCACACCAGAGCCCTGGAGACGCATACTTTGTCCTGATCTGTGGAAGACACCAGGATGGGCTGTGACTAAAAGCTGCATTGGGGGCTGCAGAAAAAGTTCTGAGCAATGAGAACTGGGGCTGGCGGTGGTAGCAGAAGCAGCAGAGCTGGAGAACAGAGATCGGGGCAGGAGGGAAGCAGGAGTAACAGCAGATACTCTGACAGCAAAGGCTGCAGCACTTAAGAGACAGAAGACAGTTGAGCAAATATGTTCTCTGGGAGGAAGCTACTGACCCCCAAGATTTATCCACAAGAATTCTCAGCTGACTGGGATAAAGGAGCTTGCTAGACAACCAGTAACCAGTTGCCATGGAGCGGATTCCAATTCATCACGACCCGATGTGTACCAGACTAGAACTGTGCTTCACAATTTTCAGTGGTTCAATTTTTGGAAGCAGATCATTAGGGCTTTCTTCCAAGTTGCCTCTGGTGGATTCAAACCTTCAACCTCTTGTAGCCAAGTGCATTAACCGTCTGCACTATTCAGAGACTCCTTTCAGGACAAAACCAAAACCCACTGCCACTGAGTTGACTGCAACTAATAGCGACCCCATAGGGTTTCCAAGGCTGTACATCTTTATGGAAGCAGAACTGCCTTGTCTTTCTCCTGCGGAGCGGCTGGTGAGTTCAAACTGCCAACCTTTTGGTTTGCAGCCAAATGCCTTTGCTAGGGCACCACTGGAGTTCCTTCCTTTCAGGACAAAGTAACCTTAATTCTCTATCCTTCACTATTGGTATCTCTATTGGCAAGGTCCATACCCAGCAGTAGCATCCAAGAAGGATATTTTAGATAGACTTATTTTCTTAATTAAAAATGAAATAAAACAAAACACACTTAAATTAACTAGATTGTGAGAACTCCTTGAAAGTCTTTATTCTTTTTTTTTTTGACTGGCACACTGCCTCGCAGGCAGGCATTCAAAAAAATACTTTTTTTTTTTTTTTTAAATAGGCAATTTTAAACACTGGGAGGATTTCCTTTCAGTGTTTATTCTTGGGAAAAGTTTATTCCCCTGTGACTCTAGACAGCAGAGGTTTTACCCTAATATTCATAAGCCACCTCAGAGAGACAGGGAATACTTTAGGTTAAACACATAAGTGCTTTAGAAGGGTAGTAAAAAAAAAACTCCTCAGTCAGGAGTTGTCACAATTGCTGAAAAGATCAAGGCTTCTGCAGCCTGGGGCAGCTTCACAGCACTCAGAGACACAGAGAATGTCTTCCGTGTCCCTCTCTGTCCAGGGACTTCCAAGATAGCTGCCCTGGCTCATTCCTGAAAAGACTTATGGCAGAAGCCAGTGTAACAAAGAGGGCTGGGAACATCCCTGCCTGGCCCAGGCCTCATGCAGCAGCTTTGCCCAACCAGTACGAGGACCAGTACCAGTGGTCTAGCTACTGACCACATTATCCGAGAAGTGCCTCCGGCATCTGTCCCCTGCCCCCTCCAACAGAGCAACAGAGAACCAGAATCAGGCATTCAGGGCTATCATCAAATAAGTGACCCCTCTCCTTCCACTTAATTCCCTGGCATTCTATGTGCAGTACACAGACAGAGTTTTCACAAATTAGTTTCTTAAAATACAACAAAACAGCATTACATAAAATCCTCTTTAAAAAGTCTTTCCAACGTAATTCAATTCTCAAAATTAACTTACAAAATGTTGTGCAAAAACAAACATTGACCTCAAATAAATAGAAAAACAGAACAGAACAAAACAAAAACAAGTGGGGAGAGCTACACTTAAAAAAAAAAAAATTAAAAAGAAACACCAGCTGCACTTCAAAGTATTTGCAGGATGAAATGCATCGAGAAGGCTATCAAAAATAGCCCTCAGAGTCAGAGTTGCATTTTCTGTGAGGTTTTTGTGTTCAAAATTCACAGTGGATGCCCCCACTGAGGTCCTTCACCACACCTTCCTTGACCAGTTTGAGGAGGAATCTTGTCTCTGTTGTCACATTATGCATGGTCTGAAAGTTCATAGCAGCCATGCACTGATTGTCAAAGTAGTGCAAAGGTGTTTTGGGTTGACTGAGGTCATATCCAAAACCCGCCAAACTGACTTCATCGCACAAATGTGTGGCTAAGACGACAGCAATGACGCCAATCGTGGGGATGTTCTGAAAAAGGGAAAAGAAGACAGGAAAAAAAATGTCTTAGCATAATTCACTGCTTTCAAGCATTATCCATTCTATGCACAGTAATGAAAGCTGCATTGGAGGCTGCAATTTTTTTTTTTTTAAATTGAACATACAAAATCACAGAATTTTAAAAGTCTGACTTCCCATCCAAGTTAGGAATATGTTTAACACCTTATCAAGAGGCAGCCTGAAAATGCTTCCTGTGCCAAGCTAAAAGCTGTTCTTTCTAAAACTACCCATGGATCCTGAATATGATGTTCAGAATCACAAAACAAGCCCGTTTCCTCTTTCACATGCATTTCTTCCTAAGACTCAAGTTTCTGTGAGGTCTTCAATGCAGTAAACGGCCACAGGACCTTGAGCAGTCTTCCCAGGGGCACCTCCTCCGTTTCCAATGGTGAAGACCGTACTCAAGCCCATCTGTAGTACATCAATGTTAGGTCCCACTGAAGGGCTCTGCTGGCAAATCACACTTCCAGGCTATTGTCACATGTATAGCTGCTACGCCCATTTCTTCTCATTCTCTCTTTGGGCAAGTGTACTTCTAGACCCAAATTCAGGATTTTCACATTTATTCCTTTTAAAGTGCTGCCTTTGGCCCAACATGCTAGATGTCCAAACCATGTTGAACTCAGTGTACCACACCTTCCTCCTGTTATCCTGCCATGCCTCCTCCCAGTGACAAATCTGGAATCATGCTTTCTGGATCTCCATCTCAGTCTTGGATAAGGGCAGTCACTGGACAGAGAGGATACAGAAAGGCATGCATATTTCAAGCCCTTGATGAAGGTTAACGATCTATTAACATTTTTTTTTTTTTTTTTGTAGTTTTTCAGCCATATGCAAATGTACTTTATTCATTCATCTTGGTCAAGTCTGTGGTTTCCACAAGCAACTCTTTCTCCTTCTCTGCAAACTTGAACAACAGTGAGCCCTTCAGAGTTCACAGATTTAGGTGGGATTAATTTCAAAACTGAATTATTTTCTGCTTTGAATTTTTGTTGAAACCATGTGTTTTCAGTAATGGAAGATATTTTGAATGAAACGAAAAAAAATTCTTTTGAAGTAATACAAATCTTGATACAATTAGTGAGACACATATGTCCCAAGGGGGTCTCTGGTACTGGGGTTAGTGGGATGAGGCCCATTTCTGCAGATTCATGCAGTTATACAGGCTCCTAGCAGATGGCAGCATGCAAAGTGGGATAGCATCTTCCCACTAAACCCCAGAGGTGAAAAATGTATGTGGTGACTATATGTACCACGGGTCATAAAAGGGTCAAGGGAGCATCTACTCAATCCATCATTTGTTAAACTGCTTCCTAAACTCCTAAGTGTGCTGCCTCTGCTTCTCAAAACCAACCTCACTTGGTAAGAAGGAACTGTTTCCATCTAAAACCAAATGCTTTTTTATTATAAGAATAAACAAATAATCAATTCAAATAATAAATAAATGGATTATAAAGTAGAAAGCAATTTTACTTTCCAGAGAAGGGTATTCTTCACAGTGTTTTTCCATACATATATACACACAGTTTTATTTTTAAACAAAAATGGAGACATTTTCCAGATCTTGAGTTTTTTGCTTAATATATTGTAGACATATTTTAATATCTCTCTATATTAGTGTTTCCTCATCCTTAAGCTGCACCACATAGCACTGACTATACCATAATTAAGGAGCCCTGGTAGCACAGTGGTTAAGCACTTGGCTGCTCACTGAATGGGTGGCAGTTTGAACCCACCAGCTGCTCCATGGGAGAAAGATGTGGCAGTCTGCTTTCACAGAGATTACAGCTTTGCAAACACTATGGGGACAGTTCTCTCTTGTCCCACAAGGTTGCTAAGAATCAGAATCAGAGTCAATGGGTTTGGTTTTTTTCATACCATAATATGTTTAAGCTATGCTTCAATGATAAACACTTAAGTCAGTTCCAGTCCTTTGCCATTAATGCCATCGATGGTGGGCATCTGAAACTATCCATCTTTGTAAGTTACTCTAATCATTTCCTTGAGATAAATTTTTTTTACAGTAAAATTGCTGGGTCAAAGATTATTCATATTTAAAACTGAACATATATTGCCAAACTATCCTCCAGAAAAAGTGTCCACTTACAGCTTCTGAATGTCAACTACATTCCTGCTGACCAAAGACATTATTAAGCTTTTAAATCTTTGCTAATAGGTGCACTATGTCACTGTGGCTCTAATTTGCTTTTATTTGGTTACAGAAGTTGCACATTTTATCACACACTCCTTGGCCACACTTCTTTGACCGGTTTTAGAAGAAACCTTGTTTCTTTTCATTTGGTGCCCATTTTAATTTCCTCTTTTGTGAAATGTCTGTTCATATCCTTTGCCCATTTGTTTATGGACTCATCTTTTTCTTTTTGATTTAGGAAGAACTCTCTGTACTTTAAGAGTATTTTCTTTGTCACATATATGCATATTTTTGTGTTCTGACTTTGTTATCTCTTGCCATTCAGCAACTTCATATTTTATGTAATTAAATCTGTCCAGTTTTTAAAGGTTACTTTCTAAATAAAATCTATCAACAAACAAAAGAGCATTCATCAGGGTTTAGAAAATACTACTGGAATTTAATAAAGAAACAGGGCAGTTTAAAAGATACAGAAATCAAGGTGAGGTGGGATATTGAAAGATATTCAAGTATATTTATAGTGAAATATCTTTCCAATTTAAGAATCTTGCCAAATTCTGTTTAAATCCTTTTTTTTTTTTTAATTAAAGTGTTGTATTGAAAATAATGTTAACAGATTAAAAGCCATAAGTCCATGTTCTAAAGGAGGTGAAGAGGCCCTGTGTCCCCAATGTGGGAGGCAGCAGCTAAGGGAACCTCATGATGATTCCCATCATAAACTCTAACAATTTCTATTAAGGGGTACAGCCTTCCTCTGTTGAGAAGAAAAATTTGCCACATTTTGACTGGAAAGTTGGCTCTAGACAGGCACCTGCCATGGGCAGGAACTACTTGGATGAAGAGGCAGGAAGGTGAGGGCAAAGTGCTGAGGAAAATGGCAATCCTGGCTCCTGCGGGTCTGTGGGCAGAAACCAAAACCACAAAACCAACCTCACTGCCATCGTGTTGGATCCAACTCACAGTAACCCCTCCTTGGGTTTATGAGGTGGTATCACTATGGAAGTAGTTTGCCCAGTATTCCTTCCAAGGAGTGGCTGGTGGGTTTGAACCACCAGCCTTCTGGTTAGCAGTCAAATGCCTTAGGCACTATGCTACCCCAGCTCCCTGTGAGCAGAAAGTCACTGGGAAATGAACAAGGTCAGCCACAGAGGCTGCTCTGGAGCTCCAGGGCAACTAGGCTGGGCACAGGAAGAGCTTCAACTCTGTGAGAGGGACAGTGAGCTGGGTATTTCCAGCCTGAGGCAAGAGCCAGAGTTGGAGTTGGTAGGGTCTGACCTCAGAAAAGAACTAGGTTTTTGTTTTGAAGGTGCCTGATGTTTATTTTCTTTAATAACTACAGCATTCCTTCTTTAGTACCTATAAATTGTTTTAAAGAATATTTTCAATTAGAACTTGATTCCTAAGGATAATAGAGGAATCCACTAATTGGCCTTTCAGTTGACTACACCAAAGAGTCTCGCTCAGCATGTGCTGCCCTGAGCCACACCTTTCCCTTGGAGATAGCTCAGGCTTCAGATGTGAGCTGCTGGACCCCACTGGACCCTACATTTCAAAATTCCTTGATTTTCTTTATATTTTGGGATTCTGCTTAAATTTTAAGGAAGATTTCCACTGCTTTTTAAAAAGTTTTAAAGACATGGGTCTAGCTATTCAGACCATGAAGCCATAAGTAATAAAGGCATTCCCAGCCACCTGGTGGCAGCACATATAATTGCAGATAAAGAATCTCTACTGTAATTAACAACAACAACATCCACCAGCCACTCCTCAGAAGGAAGGTTGGGTAATCTACTTCTGTAGTGATACCAACTCAGAAACCCAAGGAGGAGTCACTATGAGTCGGACCGACTCAATGGCAGTGAGTTTGATTTGGTTTTAGAAAGCGAGCAATGGTTCTCCAGTTAGGCTGCAAAATAAAATCATCCAGGGAATTCTGAAAAAAATCTCAATGCACAGATCACAGCACAGACCCACTAAATCAGAGCTTTTGGGGTGGGACCCAAGCATCAGTTGAAAAACACTGCTTTAGGCAGCTATTAGGAGCTCCGGTGGCATAGTACCTAAGGCATTTGACTGCTAACCAGAAGGCTGGCAGTTCAAACCCACCAGCCACTCCTCAGAAGGAAGACTGGGCAATCTACTTCCATAGTGATACCACCTGAGAAATCCAAGGAATGGTTGCTATGAGTCAGATCCAATTCCACAGCAGTAAGAGTTTTTGAGGGGGCTACTTACCATTATAAAGTGATGATAAACATCAATTTTATCTGCCTACTGAGCAAGTAAGGAGCTTAAGTGGCATAGTGCGTAAGGCACTTGACTGCTAACTAAAAGGTTGGTGGTTCAAACCTACCAGCCACTCTGCAGAAGGAAGATGGAGCAATCTACTTCTGTAAACATTTACCACCTCGGAAACCCAGTGGGGGTTTCTACGAGTCAGAATCGACTTGATGGCAGTTAAGTTTGATTTTTTTGGTTTAGTGGGCAAGTAGTCCACACAATTAAAATGAAAGAACTTTTCAGACTCTCTAAGTGCCCTTCAGGATCCAGCAGTTTTAGGCACTAACAAGTCCTAGAGTAAGAATGCCTTAAATAATACAGACATACCTTGTTTTATTGCAGTTTGCTTTATTGCACTTTGCAGATATCATGTTTCTTACAAATTGAAGGTCTGTGGCAATCTTGCATTTAGCAAGTCTGTTGCTGCCATTTTCCCAAGACCATCTGCTCACTTTATGTCTGTGTGTCACATTTTTGTAATTCTTCTGATAGTTCAAACTTTTTCATAATGCTATTGCACACTAATAGACTATAGTATAGTATAAACATAACTTTCATATGCACTGGGAAACCAAAAAAATCGTGTGACTCACTTTACTGCAATATTTGCTTTATTGCAGTGGTCCAGACCTGAATCACGGAAGCATGCCTGTGTCTCAGTAGGGTAAGTGTTCACGTGCTTAGTATGTTACAGACATGAGTCACAGGGGAGAAATCTAATGAAACAATTAAGAACCTTCTAGAAAAGTTGTGGGAGCTCTGGTGGTGTGGTGTGTAAGGTACCTGACTGCTGACCAGAAGAATGGCATTTCAAATCCCCCAGCCACTCCTCAGAAGGAAGATTAGGCAATCTACTTCTGTAGAGATACCGCCTTGGAAACCCGAGGGGTTGCTATGAGTCTAATTGACTCGACAGCAGTGAGTTTGGTTTTTTAGTCAAGGTGTAGAGTGGTAATTACACATGGAACAAGTTAATTGATGGCTAGGTATCCCCATTGGAGATGCTTCTGGATATATAGTTGAGCCAGAGTGGAATTTGTACAGATGTTTCCCCTCAAACACACAGAAGAATAGTTGACTTTCAGTAACAACAAAAATACCTTATCTCGGCCCCAGAATCTTGACTGTGGCTCTGAATACTGAAGGATGTCAAAGGCAGTTTCTTTGATGATAACTGGATTCAATATCCTGAAGTGTTTTGGGTGTAGTGGGATTTTTTCTGCCACTTGCTTCCAAAAGAACAGTCGTACCCAAAATGGCTAAGGAGAGAAAACAAGCAAAGATTAGGGTTAAGGCATTTAATGAAGTCATCCTTTCATCAGAGGGTGAGAAGGCAGACCCTGCCAATCAGGCCACTGCATGGGTATGATCCCTAGTGGGCTTGGGTACTGCATTCTGCAGCAAGTCTCTAAGATCTGAGGGAGTCTAGTACCCAAATCCAATAAAGTAATTCTAAAGGACCTAATTTACAAATGTAGAATCATACAAAGAGAGGAACTGTGGGATCAGTTCTTGCTTGGGGAAGAAATTCCTCCTGAGATGGTGGGCCTTTTAGGATCCAGGGGTATCATTCTGTCCAGAGACCAAGGGAACAGGTCAAACTTGAAGGGTACTAAATCCCGTCAGCATCTCACTCGGATCAGGCCTGCATCCCGCCTCCTCTCTCCACTCAATTTTCTAGTCCCATGATGTCTCTTGATAAGTGACCCTAAGTCATTTCATATATGCTTCATCTTCCAAGAACTACTCAACAGGAAATGCAGAAGACCCTGATAATCTGTGTAGAATCGAGCCTTGCAGATACAAATTCTCCCTTAGAGAGAGCTTATGTGAAAAGTCTAATAATTCTTATTATTTTTGCAGACAGCTAGTTTGTGTTTGTATATACACAAGAATGTATTCCTTCATGGTTAACTGCTGAAATTTACTTCAGTATAGCAGGCAAGACTATAAGGTAATAGGATTGATTATTGTAAAGGTCAATTGAAGGAATAGGAGCAAATAGGGGCTCTCTCCTTCACATTGGCCACCCTGGACTGCTGTGTATGTAGTCCAACCAGGGGACCACCAGCAACTCTTTGGTAGTATTCCTCAGAAATTTTATGCATATTCGTTTTTTTTTTTTTTTTTTTTTTAAGTATTGCTGTAAAAACATACATACAGTGAAACCTGTGAGAGCTGGAACTTGAGACTGCCTTGTTTCAAGTCTCACAAGTTTTCCACCTCTGACAAGGTGTAGTCTTAGCACTTTTTTGTCACTCTGTCTTAGTAGTAAATATTTGCATTTTCCTCCCCTGATGGGTTTCCACCTTACCCAGGTTCTGGTTTTCATAGGTTTTGCTGTGTAACATTTGTTAATGTAACATCTTTTACATGTACAATTTAATGACAGCAAGTGCATTAATCACATTGTGCAACCGTCACCAACATCTGTTTATGCACATTCTTTTGAACATCCTTCATAATGGTAGATGGTCATCCAAGAAATCTAGTTCCTGGAAATAGCCAAAAGCCATATAGGTTCAAGTCTGTTGAATAAGGTGGGTGATCAACCTCTGTTAACAGCAATTTTGGTCCCAAACTTGATAGTCCCATTAAATAATAATCACAGCGTTTACATGTAACTCACAATCGGTTCTGAAAGCATCTCTCAGCAAGGAGCTCAGAAGGGTCTATGCAAAGGGAGCGGCAAGGCAGACACCAAAGCAATTATACAGGGCAGGTGTGGGTGGGGCCTAGGAGAATACTGGGCCAGGTGTGACCTGGTCTTAAAGCAAGCATTTGGGGCATTTAAAATCATTAGATCCATGATGGCTTTACCGGGATGGTTGTTTTTTGGGAAAACTTCTAAGAATTCTCCTAAAAATTATACCACTCAATTTTGAATCAAAACGTCTAGTTCTAGTTTAGTTCTTCATCAGTATTATCACCTGCTGATCACTTGAAAGACAACATACTTTACTAAGGCACATCTGAGAGATGAATCTCTAGTGCTTACCAGGGTTTCATTCTTTATCATTGCTTGAAGCCAGTTGAAGTCAACACTCTTAAATAAAACAGCAACAAACAAGTCATTGGAATAATATTCAAGGTCAGACAGGGGTGCACCCTCGGGATAAGTCATCCTTATAGTAGTTTTATTTCCAACATGCTCTGAGTATCCCTGAACTGGTGCACTGTTTAACCTATTTAAATAAAAAACAAAGATAAATTGACAAAGCAAGCCACCAACTACCTTCTCTTGCCACACAACATCCCTATGTTGTGTCCTACAAATTTCACGGAGGACTGGGAATGAGTACGTGGTTGGGAACTATCCTTTCCTAGGCCTCCCCAGAAGAGCTGGCCCTCCCAAGCAGCCTTGTTACACTCACAGCCTGCTCTTTCCTACTGCTTGACAAATGCAGCCTTCAGTCCACAAGGGAAGCCTGTAGCTGATCCCTAAAATGTCACGTGATTTCACCTAGTCCTGCTATTTTAAGCTAGTCTAAGCACATTATATTTTGGGCTTTCTCTGGGCACCAGGAAGGTTTGTTGAAAGGCTGCCATTGTGCTCAGACATTAATCGCTCTTGCTAGAATTTCAAAAAGGTATTAAAAAAGGAAAACCTAGAAACCAGGCAAGGCAGAAACCAACGGCAGTTACGCAGGGCAGAGGGTGGGGGCCTAGGAGAACACAGGGCCCCACGTATGACCTGGTCTTAAAGCAAGGATTTGGGGCATTTAAAATCATTAGATCCATGATGGCTTTACAGGAATGGTTGTTTTTTGGGAAAACTTCTAAGAATTCTCCTAAAAATTATACCACTCAATTTTGAATCAAAAAGTCTAGTTCTAGTTTAGTTCTTCTTCAGTATTACCACCTGCATCTAAGCTTTCTTTTCTATCCTACAGCCACTTCCTCTTCTAGAGCTCAAACATCAAATTCCTAGATTATTGAGATATTATCAGAAATGACAACTAAATGCCAAGCATGATCCTCAAACAGATTTTTTTATTTTCTTTCTTCTCTTTTCCTTTCTTCTCTTTCCATTTTCTTAAATAAAGGACATTACCAGTTTCCAAAACCAAAACCAAACCCATTGCTATTGAGTTGAATTCCAACTCATAGTGACCCCATATGAGAAGACCTGGTAGCTCAAAGATTAAGCACTTGGCTGCTAACCAAAAGGATGGCGTGGCAGTTTGAACCCACTAGCTGCTACATGGGAGGAAAGATAAGGCAGTCTGCTTCTGAAAGATTACAGCCTTGGAAACCCTATGGGGTTGCTATGTGTATGAGTACAAAGTATCAGGACAGTTGGTGAAATAGGAATGAGGTTCACAGATCAGATAATAATCATTGTATCACTGTTAGTTTCCTAATTTTGAGCATTGTTCTATATCATATGAAAGTCTGTCCTTGTTCTTAGGAAATGCACACTGAAGAGGTAAAGGGGCTTGATGTTTGCAATTTACTCTCAAAGCCTTTGGAAAACAACGAAGAAAATTATAAATATGGTGAAGTGTTATCAACTGGAGAATTTAAGAGCTCTCTGTATTATCTTTATAATTTTTTCCTAAGTTTGGAATTATTTTAAGATTAATAATTGCCCCTCCAAAAAAAAAAAAAAAAGAAAGAAAGAAAGAAACCTAAAAGCTTCTTCACAGATTTTCCTCCCCTAGTCTTTTCCATCAGCCTTGACACCAGAACCAGGCAACCAGGCTATAAACCACCCTTCCTGGATGTTCCCAGGGCTCTGTGCCTGCCTTTCATAGAGTCCACAGTCATCAGGCTGGTGGCACCATCAGCTTGGCATCACACCACCTTCCCAGCCAGGTGGGGCTCCTCTCTGCACAGCCAAGTCCCATCAGTGCTTCAGGGCCAGCTCAAAGCTGCCCTCCTCTTCTGCCCATGTCTTCTCCCCTCTGGCCTAGAATGTGTGTTGTTGGCACCCATGGTTTCTCACCTCTTCTCTTCCTGTATCCCAGTCACTCCATTTGGTGGGTGTGTTAGTCCCATCCCTGTCACACCAAGTGCTGCCTGCACACAAATCACTCAGCTCCTCACATGAAATCGGGAACGAGGTTTTGGAAGCCTCAAACCTTTGCATTTGGCATGCTGGGGTCTGGCATGGATGGTGGGACTCTCAGTGCCCCAAGGCCTCATCTATGACACAGGCTAACAGTGATCACTTCACCTCACTGGGTTCTTTTGAGGAATGAAAATATTTCAAGTGCTTAACATGGTATTTGACACACGATAAACCAAAAAAAAAAAAAAAGACAAAAACCCACCACCATCAAGTTGATTCCAACTCATAGCATCCCCTGCATTGGGTTTCCAAGGTGGTAAATCTTTACAGAAGTAGATTGCCCAGTCTTGCTTCCACAGAGTGGCTAGTGGGTTTGAACTAACAACCTTCTGGTCAGCAGTCAGATACCTTAGGCACTGTGCTACCAGAGCTCCTTGACAGATGATAAATACCCAGTAAAAGGTAACCATTACATCCATTGCTTCACCCCAACTTTCATAGTCCCCTGAAGCCCTGACACCCACTCCTGCTTTCTTATGTCACAAATCCTGCTTTCTTGTCATTGTGACCTATGGCACCATTTTACCTTAAAACTTGGTTCTTATCTGTTTCTTCTACCTCTTAGCCCTTATAAAAAGTCTTGTTCTTTCCCACAAACACCTTGCACTCTCTGCTCTCTCCTCTTGAGCCCACCTTCCTACACATTCTCCAAAGCCAGCTGACAACATTTATGGAGCATTTACTACAAGCTTGACACTGTGCTGAGCCCTCTGCATTTGTGGACTCATTTTGTCTTCACAGTAACCCTATGAGATAGGTAGGTACTATTACTGTCTCCATTTTACAGATGAGGAAACTGAGGCACAGAGAAGTTACGTAACTTGCCCAAAGTTACCTCTGCTGGGGGCAAAGGCACCATTGGCCACATAATCACCTTCAGGCTCAAAATGTCCAAAATGGATCTTATCATCCTCCCTTACTAACCAGAGATTTTTCTCAACTATCTTGTTTCTGACAGTGGCTCCACTAATGTCTTAGACCTCCAGACTAGACATCTTGGTTTCCTCTGATATCAGTTGTCACACTGTCAGAAAGTAAAACTTACTTGTTCAATATAGTTCTCAGATTCAACCTTTAGCTGCTATTTCCTTGGCCTTATCACTGCATCTGCTGAACCCAGACCTCTAGTCTCTCCTGCCTTTTATCAAACCCACACACTATTGCCCAACATGGTAGAGCCCAATTTCATCAAGCTCCTGGCTCTTCACACCCTTGGGAACAATCTTCTTGGGATACAAGTCACTAAAATGTATCAAGAGCCTTGAAATAGGAAAATGGATGAATAACTTATGAAACCTTCATATGCAAGAACATTTAAACAACTAAAGTTAGTTTTCTAAAGAATACAAGTAGTTCCTGACTTATGATGGGGTTTCATTCTGACAACTCTGTCTGAAGTCAGTTCTGATGTAATTCAAATCTCTTTTTGTTCTATTATTGCCCTTTATTATAAACATCTTTATAAACCTAATCTTTGAACACCTGCAAGTGAACGTCTGAGAATAACATCAGCAAATTATGTGCTGCAACGTTGTATGTAGTCCATATTAGTGATACTAAACCAAAAAAACCACACTCATTGCCGTGGAGTCAGTTCTAATTCATAGCGACCCCTCCTTGAGTTTCTGAGGTAGTATCTCTATGGAAGTAGATTGCCTAGTCTTCCTTCTGAGGAGTGGCTGGTGGGTTTGAACCGCCAGCCTTCTGGTTAGTCAAATGCTTTAGGCACTACACCACCAGAGCTCTCATTACTACTAATAAGGTGTAAACAGAAAAAAAAAAAAAAGACGGTCATAAGTGTGGTTCATCATAACTCTAATATAAGTCAGGGACTATTTGTCTTTAAAAACCTCAGAAACTGTTCATAAGATTAAGTTAAAAAAGCAAAATACTAAATGACCTCATGAGTATGTATATAGAACAAAACTGGAAATAAAACAACACAACAAATTAGCAGTGTTTGGTTACTCGTGCTATGAGTGGTTTTTATTTTCCTTATATTCTTCTATATTTTTTCAATTTCTATAAAGAACTTATTTTACACTTTTATAATCAAGAAAATACTTTTAACCAGCCAAACCAAGAGGAATCTAGGATGGCTGCCTATTGCCTGTCGTGCTGAGTTGAAACTCCTCTGTGTGATTGCTATGTCCCAGGCAGCAGTACCTATCAGGGCTCCTGAGCACCAATCTCCTTGCTCCCAGAAGACAGATGGCCCTGACTAAATTCTCCTCTGAGTCCTCCTCTCTCCCCTGCTTAGCACAGCCTTTCTCCTTGGCTGGTTTACCTTAATCCACCCATCCTTCAAAACCTCACCTTTGTGGAAAAGGCATTGCCAATTTCTGCAGTCCACTGAATGTCCCTTAAGGCTAGGTTCAGTGCAGCACAGTTTGGGGCATCCAATCCTTTCTTTATTTTCTGTCCCAACATCTCAAATACTAAGTGCCTTGAGGACAGGGACCATGCAGTGTTTCCTGTATAACTCACTATACCTGGTACTGCACCAGCCACTGAAGAGTGAATTTAATTCTAGACCAGAAAGGTTGGCTTTAAAAGCAATGTACCTTATTACAACATCAAACTGGTTCAGGACATGGCCCAGTTCTAGTCCGTTAAGTATTCCACCACTTCCGATAACCACACAACGCCTACAACCCTTGGCTTTCAGGTGTTCAGGAAAGTCGTGCTCAGGCAAGATTTCCAAGAGGGTCTGGACTTTACTGAAGAACTTCCGGAACCCAAAAGGAGGATCATATTTGTATTCGGCTTCGTTTGTTTTGGTGGCCCGCTTCACAAAGGGCACCAAGTCCATGCTGTACCTGCGCTCAAACAATTGCGCCATAGACTTCTTCGCAAACTTGGGGCGGCACTCCTTTTGCAATATTTGCTGTGCGTACTTCTGAGCTCTCTGGAATGGAATCACACAATCTGAATTTAAGAAACTCTCAGGCATTAGACCTATACTCTAGAGATGACATTTCTGTGATGGCTGACATAGCTCCTTTGTTGTTTAGTAAACATTTGTTTTTTAGAGTTAATTTATAGTCAGAATCCTGAAAAATCAAACCTGGAAAATCACATGACAGGCAGATAAACTTAACAAGACTATTTCTTTCATCATTCAAGCAAAGCAGAAAGCCTCCCCCTTTCCCCTAGCTCTAACCTTGATAAAATAAATTTGAGGTAAAAAGTCTACTTTGAGGTGTTTAAGGATTCCTGTTTCAGGTTCCTCCAATCCAGCAGGATGAGGAAGAGACTCAGGTATCAGCTTCTGTACAGTCTAGAGTGAGGACCACCTTCAATGCAGTCGGAATGATGCCTTATTAACACAGAAGTGCAGCTGGTTCCACCTGCACTTTGCCCAGCCCATGGATGTTTTGTATCACCATGGAACAGCTGTTGAACGCAAAGGACACCACTGGCACAGCCAGATGAGGCATAACATGGAGGAACATTAATGTCCTTTTGCCCCCTAGTCTTCCTCTTGTCTCACTTAGGCCAAAAGCTACCCCAGAACTGCTTATTGAAATTTTCTCCCTAAGCTTTGTGCCTTTTCTCCTTGCCTCCATATTCATCAGCTTTGGCTCTTCCTTTTACCTCCTCCCACCAAGCTGCCTTCATGTCCTATATTTATTGGAATATTTATTTTTAGGAATTTAACATGTGTTTTAAACTGTGCCTGTTTATTGTTAAAACAGTTGCTGTTGAGTTTCAACTCCAACTCAAGGTGACCCTATGTGTGTCAGAGTAGAACTAGGCTCCACAGGGTTTTCAGTGGCTGATTTTTTGGAAATGAATCACCAGGCCTTTCTTCTGAGGTGCCTTGTCGGTTCACCTGAACTTCCAACCTTTCTGTTAGCAGCTGAGCACATTAACCATTTGCATCATCCAAGGACTCCTGTTTATTATATGGATTATTATTATTACGTAGTTTTAAATGTTTGCTCAAATTATAGTTTTCCTCAAAGCCTTGCTGTTTTTATGATGTGATTTTTTTGTATGATATGTTTTTTTGAAAAGGACTCATCTATCTTACTAGAGCAGAAACACTTTTTTCTTTTTAGTTTAAAAAATTACTAGTGTCTCTGAAGAGCTTGTTGCTTACATGCTAAGGATCTGGCCCCATTTATGCAAAGAGGAACTGATACTGTGTGACTCTCAGAGATGCTGCTGCAGACACTATGAATAGCCACTGTCTCAGTTCACCTTCATGATATCAGTAGCACCTGGCACAACAGTCATTAGTATCTTCCTCTCACGGGCTTAACGAGGTTCAGAGAGCTGCCCAAGGTGGCAAAACCAGCAAGGGGCTGAGCTGGTGTATTAATCCTGGCTTGACTGCTTCCCAGAACTCATAAAAACAGTTGGCTTTGCCTACAGAAAACAGCACACAGATCATAAAACTAAAAATTCATGATCAAAAGGGGGAAAAAATAGAACAGAATTTCAAATTCTCATGAAATCCAGATTTTTTTCTAATCATTGAGGCTGGATGAATCCCTGAAACTATTGCTCTGAGGTAATCTTTAAACCTTAAACAAAAACATCCCTTCAAGTCTTCTTTAAGCCAAAAGTTTAGCTTACCTAGTAAAGAATGTCTGCCTTGACCATTTTATCTTTTAAAGAACTACAGGTATGCATCACTTAGTGTCCATGGTAAGTTCTGTGAAATAGGGCATTCTGTGACTTGGATGTTGTATGAACACCATATTAAAACCTTATGGGAGTTTACTTCCGGTTGTCCTCATGGCTGCTGTTGCCACTGAAGCTGCTGGCAGATGCCAGCAGAATGGGCACAGTGGAAATGGAGCACGAGGGACTTCCGGTAAGATGGAGGAACAGGCAGACAAGCAGCACAGACCCTCTTCAACAAGGAAAAGAAAAACCTATTGGCAGAGATACAGAAGATAATCCTGGGGCCCTGAGCTTTGAAAGGAACTATACAGAAGTGGATTAGGCACCAACTAGTGATAAAACCTGAATGAAAACAGTGAGTACAGAGATGGTCAGAGCTGCGGACTGTCAGCTACTCTGATGAGACCAACAGCCTGAATATTTCCAAATGGTGTTGGGACCTGAGAATTGACCTAAAGATCAGTTCCGGTCACCAAATTGTCCAAGATTTTTTGGAAGAGAATTTTCCTTGTATGATGAAAGATGAGGCTATATCCATTCAAGAAGTCCAACGAACCCCAAACAGGATAGACCCCAAAAGAAAATCACCCAGACATATCCATCATCAAACTCACCAAAACCAGACAAAGAAAGAATCATGAGAGCAGCATGGGAAAAACGAAAAGTTACCTAAAAGGGGCAACTAATAAAACTAAGCTCGGGTTTCTTGACAGAAATCATGCAGGCGAGAAGACAATGGGATGGTATATATAAAACACTGAAAGAGAAAAATTTCCAACCAAGAATCATGTACTCAGCAAAACTGTCCCTCAAATATGATGGTGAAATTAGGACATTTCCAGATAAGCAGAAATTAAAGGAAATTGTTAACACCAGAGCAACCTTACAAGAGATGCTAAAGGGAGCCCTTTGGAAATGGAGCACGAGGAAACAAGTGAGGAGGGAATGAAGCGTGCCCAGTCCTGCCCACTGTCCTGCCACCTAAGCAGCAAAAGCAGCCCAGGTCCTGCAGACCTCCACCTCCTCTGCCTGCCTGCCACTGGACAAAGCCCAAGAGCCTGTGCCCAGAGCCATGCCCTCTGCCTCACCTGCCTGTAGCTCACCCATAGTCCAGTGCTGCAAAAGTCTGGGTTTGGGGTTTTTGAAACCATTTTTGGGGAAATAATAAACAAAAGGATAGAAGCTTTCCCTCTAAAAAAAAAAAATCTCTTGTAGGACACACACATATATGTAGTTGGATGTTGTCTAGACCTTGTCAGAATGGATGTCAAGCAACACATACCTATACATATACTGGATCAAACTGACAACAGTGACAGGAAATGTTACACAGGAAGCTCAGGGGGCAGTGAGTTTATGTTAATGGAGGCAAACTGATTTAGAAAAGGAGGGCAAGAGCGGTTGCACAACTTGAAAAATTTCACCAATGTCACTGAATTGTACATGCATAAATTGTTGAATTGGTGTATGTTCTGCTATGTGTATATTCAACAAAAATGACATAAAACATAAAAAAAAAAAACAAAAAACTAACAATCGTCTGAATGCAAATCGGCATCTTCAAGAGGATTTGGAGGGGAAGCTAAGTAAAGAGCTGGCCCTGACCCTGGACACTCTTTGAAGGAGGGCTTGCTCCTGCCTAGACCACCAGCAGGTGATGCTCTGTGCCTGGCAGGCACCTGATGTCCCACTGGTGAAGGCCTGGCAAAGAGGGGAGCCATCCACACTATACACACTTATCTCTAAACACAAGGCCCAAAGGTTATCAATAGCAATTTTTAGAGTGCAAAGAGTCTAACATCTCTATATAATGACATCCCAAGCATGTAGTTTTATGAATCTCCTAGGTTGGAAACAAATGTCTGAGAAGTGCCAAGAGAACTTAGACAAGCTTAGTGACGGACTCAAGATTGGAAAGAGTTATGCGTTCAAGCTGGAAATGTGTGCTCAACTCTCAGGCTGCCAAAATTCCTCTTTAGAAGTTTCATTTGGGAAGGAGTGAAATTTCATTCCATTTCCTTCTGGCGAAGAGTTCAATTTCAGGCTTCAAACTTAATTTTCTCGACTATGAGCAGAGCACTCCACTAAGTGATTGTCTTCTAGCTGTAACTCCTCCTGGGCCTAACTTACAGCGTGGGCGAGAAATAAATTCCAAGTGAATAACTGTTCCACATGCCCAAATTGCTTGAACAATTTCTCTTAGAATGATCAGCACAAGGCCGGTCTCCATGAGGCAGAGGTTAACAATGTCCCAAATGTCCAAACTACCATACCGCTCCATCATTTCAGACATTTGCTCCTCCTCCTCCTCCCAGTAATTTCCCCCATCTTAGGGTTCTGTATTTTGCTGTAACGTCTCACAGAACTCACAGACACCCAAGGAATCGTTTCACATAGTAGATGTGGAGGCTGGCAGGCTGGGGAGTCCAGGTCTGTAAGCGGGTCTGAAGGATCCTCCCAATTCTTGGGGCTTGATAAACCTTGATCAGCAGATCAGATGGCAGCTCCTGTTCCAAATCCACGGGTGAGATGAGGATGAGCCAAAACACAGAACTGGAGCAAGAGGATGGTGAACCTTCCCAGGAGATTTGTAGGTATACAAGGAAGCTAAAGATAGTGATTTGAATTACACCCTCCAGCAAGGCAGGACTCAAGATACATTCCACCTGTGTTGCGCCAACAGAAATAACCCAAGTGGATGGCTTTAACAATCAGCAGCTCAAGGCAAATACCACCATAGAGCCGACTGCCAACCATTATAGGAACTCTGGTGGCACAGTGCCTAAGGCACTTGACTGCTAACCAGAAGGCTGGCGGTTCAAACCCACCAGCCAATCCGTGGAAAGAAGGTTGGGCAATCTACTTCCATAGTGATACTGCCTCGGAAACTCAAGGAGTGGTCACTATGAGTCGGGTCTGACTCGATGGCACATAACAACATAGGGAACAACTACTAACAGCTGCCCAGCCAAGTTGACACCCGACCTTAACTAAAGTCACAGTAATTCCTTTTTCTTTTCTGTTGCAACTGATTTGAAGATGTGTAACAAGTTCTGAAAGAGCCCCTGGGTAATTTTTTCAAATGGGAAACTGCCTCAACCTCACTCTTCTCCCTTGAACACTTGTTCAAAATCCCTTAAACCAAACCCATTGCCACTGAGTGGATTCTGGCTCATAGCGATCTTCTAGGACAGAGCAGCTCTGCCCCATCTTTCCTCACATGGAGTGGCTGGTAGATTCAAACAGCGACCTTTTGGTTAGCAGCTGTGTTCTTAACCACTGTGTCACCAAGGCTCCTTCCTGTGTTCAAAGCTCAGAAGATTAATGTCTCAGGAAGAGAAGTGCCCCTTAAGGAGCTATGATGAAGAAAGGAAGCAAAGAATTTTTGTTCCTTTAACAGAATACCCCAAGTATCTATTTCTGTAACAGAAATACCACAAATCGGTAGCTTTAAAGAATCTAAATTTATCTTCTCACAATTTAGGAGGTTTGTCATAGCTGCTATTAGGTGTCATCAAGTTGGTTCCAACTCATAGTGACCCCAGGCACAACAGAATGAAACACTGACCAGTCCTGTGCCATCCTCACAAGTGGTGCTAAGTTTGAGCCCACTAATCTATCAGTAGTTCCTTCTGATAACATGTCCAAAATATATGAGACAAAGGCTATACTTCTTCTAAACAGATATGTTTGTTCTTCTGTCAGTCCATGGTATTTTCAGTATTCTTCTCTAACAGCATACTTCAAAGGCATCATTCTTCTTTGGTCTTCTTTATTCATTGTCCAGCTTTCACATACATATGAGGCGATTAAAAATACCACAGCTTGGGTTAGGGTTTTCAATGGCTGTGATCTTTCAGAAGTAGCTAGCCAGATCTTTCTTCCAAGGCACCTCTGGATGGATTCCAACAGCTGACCTTTCAGTTAGTAGCTGAGTATTTAACCATTTGTGCTACCCAGGGACTCCTGTGAGATGGCCAGTAGTGTGCTTACTCAAATGGACAGGGGAAAGAAGATGCACAGAGAATGCAGAGAGGTGCAGCAAAGAAACAAAGGAACAGTTTGCAGCATATCAATAAGTCATATGAAGTGTCATCATTTTAGGCCTTCACCAGAAGACAAAAAACAGAGACAGGATGTCTAAAAACTGTACCCAAGAGAACTGGGAAAGGCCTTGGATTTTGAAGGATGTCTGCAAGGTCAGGTGGATTGGACACTAGACACATCCTGCCCCACAAAAGCAGATGTGTTAATGCTGAGGAGATGAAATGAGTCAGCAAACATCTGAGGACAGATACAGTGAGGCAAGGGAGGCTCAGGTCAGCTCAGGGTCAGCAAGACCCCTGAGATGCCAGCAGGCCCACCCAGGCCAAGCTTGTGCATTTACTGACTAGCCTCTTTTCATTTACTTGTTTATACCTGTCTGCACCACAAAAGATCTGAGGCACTTAAAGGATATACAGATTAAAACAGAAGGATAAAAATCAGGACCAGAAAAGAAGTTTTGTGTATACTATCTTACTGAACTTTTTTTCCTACCCCATTACATAGATGCTGTTATCTACATTTTATACATAAGAAAACCAGAACTCAAAACAATTAACTATCTTGTCTAAGGCCTCATTGTTAGTAAGAGGTATTTAGATTTCAATCTAGAGCTGCATGACTCAAATATATAAGTGCTTTCTTCTTGGCATCACGCTGCCTATAACTTTGGCCTCTTTGCTGTGGCCACTCCTGACTCACGTGGAGTGGTCCAGAGTGCAGACTCTGAAGGTTCGCTGCTGAGTTCAAGTCCTGGCTTGGTGACCTGACAAGATGATCCTGGGCAAGTTACTCAATGTCTTTGGTTTGAGAAATGGGGATAATAACAAGCCTACATCCCTAGGACTGTTGTAAGGATTAAATAAGTCAATATTACTAAAGCACTTTTAAAACAGTTCCTGGAATACAGTAAGCACTACTGTTAACTGAACTAGATGTGAACTTGGACAAGAAGCTTAACATTCCAATGCTACCATCTGTAAGAGATAATACCAGTGTCTCTCAGTCATCATGATGATTAAGCAATATATGTAAGGTACTCTGTAAGCATTGGATACATGCCAGTTATCCTCATTCCTATGTGTCATGGATTAAATTGTGTGTCCGCTGCCCCCAAAATATGTATCGACTTGGCTGGGCCCATGATTCTCAGTAATTTGGCAGTTATATGATGATGTCATTTGGCAGTTACATAATGATGTAATCATCCCCCAACATGTGATCTGATGTGATCAGCCAATTATTTAGTTGTAGGAGGATTAAGGTGAGATGCAACATTCTTCCTCAGGTCATAGCCCCGATTTAATATAAGGGGACATTCCCTGGAGTGTGGCCTGCATCACCTTTTATCTTACAACAGATAAAAGAGAGAAATAAGCAGAGAGAAGATGGACCTACAAACACCAAGAAAGAAGAGGTGGGAGCAAAGCACATCCTATGGACCCAGGGTCCCTGCACTGAGAACCTCCTACAGCCAGGGGAAGACTGACGCCAAGCCACATGGAGCTCTCCAAGGATGTTGAAAAGGAAATAAGGACCTTCCCCCAGAGCTGACAAAGAGCGAAAGTCTTCCCCTAGAGCTGGGGCCAATTTGGACTTCGAGCCTCCTAAACTGTGAGAGAATAAATTTCTGTCTGCTAAAGTCATCGATCTGTGACATATATTATAGCAAAACAAAGATAACTAAGATACCATGCTACCTTATTTGAAATTGTCTCTTCTAATCTGCACTGACATCAGTGAAAATATAAGTACTCTAATAATCAGTGAAATTAGCATTTAATGTCAATTGATTTAGAAAAAGAAATATAAATGAAAGGGAAAACCATGAAATAGAATGTGAAATCATCAAAACCAAAAACGAAACAGAGATGATTGGTGATATTAAAGATTTTTTTCACCTCTTGTTTTAAGGGCAAGCTCTCTGACACCATCACGGCTCATCAATCCCATGGTGGTGCCCTAAAGAGTGTCAAATGAAACCTTCTAACCCCACACCATGGCTGTAATAAATGTGGGAAGAGTGCTATGGGGTGGGATGCTTTCTGGGTGAGCTTCTTGGTTTTGCCTTTGGTTTTGGTTTTGGAATGCTAAGATTACATTTACCCTCCATTTTCAAACTTTTGCTAACATTGACCTGTTATAGTTTAGAGACGATATTAAGTGTATGATGATATTAAATGTATGCTTAGACATATTTTAATTTACTCAACAGAAAAGAATCATCTCAGCGGAATATCTAACCTTTACACGGTCGGGATCCACATAATGAAATTTTTTCATGTCACATTCTTCAGTAGTATAATTTAACTTGAGGATATAAAGGATCCACACTCCAAACACAAGAAGTGTACATCTGGAAGAAAACCAATTGAGTATAATGATACAGTCATGTGATAATCAAGAGAAATAATGTTAAACACCAATCTAAATCAAATTTGTTGGCCACCCACCATAAAAGTACAATCTTAAATTGACCAAGTGGGGGAAG